AAAAAAAAATTTTAAGAATCTAAGCATGATGCAAAAAACTGATAGAACTGACTTCTCCTCCAAACCAACTGCACTGATGATATTGTAATCGGATTCAACTCCCATGGCCTAAAAACAAACTCAATCAAAAAAGTCAGTCAAAACAAACCCGAATTTTGGAGAAGACACTTTTTCCCTATTTGGAAGCTCTGGATTTTCAAAAGGGCCAGGAGCAGACATTACCTTAAACACAATGGCGACAGGGATATCATCAGTGAGTTGGTTGTGGCGCAACCAGTATCTATTTCTTCGAGCAATGACGTATGTTTTACTTTTCTTCTCAGCGGTTGATGAAAGAACCTAAACATATGAACCAACATGGAAAAAGTTGACAATTATTTGTAGAAATGACCTACTTCACACTGAAGATCCTTGTTCGAATTTCTGCCTATCATGATCCTGTTCTTAGAGAGCTGCTCCTGGATGAGTATAACTTTCTCCGATCCTTTGACAATGAAATAACCTCCCGGATCGTAGGGACACTCCTGCACACGAGCCAGCTCATCTTCAGCCTGAGCGATGCCATAAAGAAAGTACTGCTAGCATATATATGTTTAACTCACTAAATCCTTCAATATGCATTTGCTCGATCGTAGCATGATAGGAAGGCGACCGATTGTCAAATCTCGCTTTATGACTCTCTGACTACCACGAGTATATTCGACATCGACATTTATAGGAGCTGCATATGTCATATCCCTCAAACGGCATTCTTGCGGGGTAATCTTGTCGTGGATCTGAAAACACAAAAATTGAGCGATTTGAAAGGGCCTGACCGTGCGACAAGCTAAATCACCTGATTGAGACCTTCTTCGCTTGATGGTTTACCAACTCGTATATCAAGATACCTAGAATAGAACATTCATAAGATTTGTTGAGAATCGTTGGAGATAACATACTTAAGATAAAAATTGGGATTTGCATCACTGGTGATCCTCTGATTCGCTAGCATAATCGTCTTAATCTCCTGATTCACAAAGTAGTCAAAACTGACAATGTGTTGCTTCACAAGGCCGCGAACCTAAGAGTAAGAGAAAAGAGTAGATTGTATAACAAATTCGACCGCACAACCTTCATTATGCAAACCTTATTTAATTTAAATAAGTTGCTTTAGATAGATGTAAAAGATAGTTCTTAATTTCGTAAGTTGAGCTTGTGAGTGATAGTGACGGATAACCATCGAGCTTCTAGCTGTTTTGTACCAATTTTTCGATCACATTTCCAACGAAGTGCGTACTTTATATATATGTTTGCTTCCTCTCTTCATGAATTAGTTCATGTCCTGAGAAAGTAAAACATATATAAAGTTTTATCGTGTGAGCTGCACAACTCCAACTGAACATGAATTTTGCTATGAAGTCGCGTAGATGGTCTCAGACGCGCTGAACGGTAAAATTCAAATTATAACGTTTTCGCAGCGCAAAGAAAAAGCTAATTGGGAGTACTGTTATGCAGTACGAATCTTCCTGAAGGGGAAGAAGCACTGGTAGATAAATATGAGATGCTAGAAAGACCAAAGCTACAAAAAAAAGGAATTGCCTTGAGAAATGCTGGAACTAGCAACCATTTTTCGTCGAGCGGTAGAGACTTCTTAGCCTGAAGGGTTGACAAAATAGCCATCTTTAATGCCAAGCTGAAAATTCATAGTCAACTAATTTGATAAAATAATCGCGAAGAGTAGCAATACCTAAATCATCAAACTGTCCCCACAAAGTACCGCCAAACGATCACAGAAGCGTCTACTTCCGCAAACCTAGAAACAGTGCAATCGAACTGGAAAGTTTCGCGCTCTAATCCTCTTCTCCTGCTCCAATGCTATGGGCATCGCATATGGGCGCGCATGGTAGTCGCTACAGAAATACGAGTTTTCAGAACTATCAATAACTACATTATACATATAAGTAGGAAAAGTGCTTTTTGAATACCCCAATACCTCCGGAAAACTAAGCTGCATCCAATAACGTAGAAAGACCCCATAATGTTGTCTTTTCAGTAGAGCGAAGGTTGACGAAGTCATAGCAGAACGGTGCTTAGATG